CAGTTAACAGCAATGGAGGTCCAGCTGGATCAGACCACTCAAACGCTTTTTGCGTGATGCATTCCAAAGCATCTAGACTGTTATCTGCGCGCAATCGCAGGTGTTTAATCGGACTGTCCTCGGAACCGGTCAACTCCCATTGTGTGCTTAAAGAGGTTTCCTCATGGAACAAGCGATGAGTCAAACGAGATAGATGTAACAAACGCCGATTACGAGCGCCCCTTTCACTGGGCATTTCCAATTTCTCTAATGCCTTCGTCGCGGCGGTTGCTAGCATTGGTGGCAAAGAAGCTGAGAAACAATAACCTTGACCAGATAACTCCTGATGTCCAACCACATACTTTGTCCCAGCACAAAATCCACCGCAAACCCCAAGCGCATTTTCCAGTGATCCTAGTCGAATAGGGAAAACGAGAGGATAATTTTACCCAGTTGCCAAGAAATTATGAGGATCTAGTATTACACAAATGTGTAACAGGAAAAACAGTAAAGGAAACGTCGATATTAGGGGCGTTAATATCTGATGAATGAGTAAAAGTGGACGACATTTTGGCACAAGGTGATCGCGGATTATCCGTCAATATTTGTATCTAAGCATAACACTTTTCAAAGAGTAGGATGCAAACATATATCTATACAATCAGCAGTTCCCAGTGAAGGCGAAATTAAAAGTATTGATTCTCACCAGAGATCATATCAATGTCCTCAACATCTATCCCAAAATACTCAGTGACTCCCCGACCAGTGGCTCCCAGTACACCGAATGAGTGACTTTCATCAAGAAGAATTCGCACTTTATACTGGTACTTTAGTTTCACAAGTTCCGGTAGAGGACAAATATCTCCGTAGTTTGCATATAAACCTTCCACGACAAGAAATCGGCGAGTTAGCATGGCGCGTTGCGGATCTTCGCGATCTCGAGCTGCTTGATTCAACAGTAATTCTTTCAAATGTTCCATATCATTGTGACGGAAGAAATAAGCTCGACTGCGTGACGCCACAATTCCTTGGAAAGCAGCATGCCCAATCCCCTCGTCAGCGAATATCACATCGGTGCGCTTAGCATAAGATGGGATCGCGCTGGAGAATGTGGCTGCCCCGTAGGAGTAGACAACTGATTTCTCGACCCGCAGAAATTTGGAGATTTTGTCCTCCAGATTCAAATGAACGTCAAAAGTGCCATAGAAGCCACGAGGGCCACAAGCCCCAACACCGTATTCTTTCATTTGACGAACGGCAGCTTCCGAAAGATCCGTATCACCAACGAAGTTCAGAAAATTGAATGACGCAAAATTCAGATGACGTCTAACCGTTTGTTTTGGATGATCACCAGAGGTTGGATGGCTATCAGCAGACTCAAAACTCACGTACCTAGGTGGGAAATGGAGCGAGAACGGAACGGAAACGAATTCAGAGATGATCTACTCGGGAAATAATTAAAATTCATCTAACGTTATAGGAATGATATAAACATCACACAAAGTGTTTAACTGAAAGGCACTGAGGGGAAGACATCGACCAAGAAACGAACGTACCACAACACCTTTTTGCTAAACCAGACATGAACTGAGTGCTATTCGTGAGTAAATAAATTCATATACTTGGATAGAAGTAGACTAGCGGCGACTTATTCTTTATCCCACTACTTTTACCATTTGTGACCACATGAAGTTAAATAATGCATAATTCATTGCTGTTACGCGTTAGCAGTGCATCTATCGAGCGGGCTGAATAAAGTTCACATGCACCTCAGCGACACCACTTCGACCTGCATTTTGTGGGTTTCTAATATGAGCGGGAAAAGATCCAAAAATGTATCCTAGAGGTTTACTAAAGAGAGGAGTGTACACTAATATGTACTTTGTTTAGACTGAAAAGAGTATGCATTGTTTGTCTCCCATGAAAAACACCATCTACGGCAGAACGTAAAGTTAAATGGGTTAAGCAAGGGAGAGCAACATGAGAATGGATGGTCAAGTCGATTCACGAATACTCTAGCGTATGACAATCGATGGCTCAGTGTTGCACACCCATATATGATCGAGTAGAGCACAATAAGCCGTTTCGCCATCAATGCAACCGTTTTGTTTTTAACGTCGTTTTGTCAGATGTTATATGTACCTTTCGTTTAGAAAACAGAAATCAGACAAATGCTAACACAGCGTCCAAAGGGCGTATGATCTAATGAACTTAATAAACGCCCCCAATTGATTACGGTTTTCGCACACCACCCCGCTGTCTGGAGGGTAAAGTTTTGGCTAGTCAACGGCTTCGATCGTGGAAAATTCACATGCCTTGGCTTGGGTAACCTGGTGGTATCGCGTCCACAAAGAAACCAAGGGACAGTTCCTTTTTATAAAGAACAGTGTACTGTGATTTGTAGGTAACGGTTTGGACTCAGACGGATATGGCTATATATATATATATATAGTGTCAGAAAATACATACTTACTTGGAGATAGGTCCTGTAGCACAGCGATCGAATTGTTGCAATAAATTTTTCGGTGCAACCCAATCCTTGGGGACAAGATCGTCTGGGGTCCATTCCCTGATAAGTTGTGCCTTTTCTGCGGGGGTTAGTTGAATGGTATCGTTGATGCGATATCGCCGCTTAAAAAGCAACCAAATTATGCCCAGGATAAGGAACAGTTCAAAATATAAATGATACAAGGGAGCCCGTAACGCGCTATGAATTAAACGAGCCCATGTGTACTCAGAATCCGGGCCAATGTGTGCGAGTACCGAACTGATAACCTTGAGCACCATCACAAACGATAATTCAATCGAATGAAAGTCCGCAGAATAACCGCTAAAGGATGAACAGACAAAAACAAAAATGACAGTTTAGTTGTTCTAATGAATAAAATTCAATCTTTCACTTTCTAATTTGTTCAGTTAAACAAATGAAACACTAAAATAGTTTTCACAAACAAAATAACACAGTAGGCATGGCAATACAAAACCACAACAGTCATAAAAATTACACAGACAAGCGTACGATAGCATGATCGATTATGGCCGTCGTCATCAAACAATTTAAGTCGCTGTCACTAATGCGCTCCGAGTTCATGTCCTCTACCTCCACCTTGAGGTTGATTTGTGACCAATCACCACTCAACGCTCGAGGGCTTGAAAATTTCAGTTACTATGACCTTACAGCAAGAACATGCCACAGATTTCAACAACCCACAGCAGTCTGCTTCATCGATTTTCGTAAGGCATTCAATTATATTGATCGGTAATCTAGAAAAAAAAATCTACCTCAAGAAATAAATGGTCTTCGCAATATTACGTGCTGCTTTATTCTAGGACTGCGAAACTTTACCACCGAGATTCGAAGACTGTCGATTATAATTCTTCGATCGCTGGTTGTCATGTTGTGATAGTAGGTGGTACATAGAGAGCCCCGGCTAGCGAACGAACCAAGAATGGGGCCCATTCGACCAGACGCGCAGACGTAGCGGCTGGAAGTACTTCGTGAGACAATGTTGGCTACCACCCGAAAAGAACGAATCGACAATTACAGCCCGACAGACAATCCGCAGCTAACGGGGAAGATATCCACCGAATGCCACAGCGTCGGAGCTGTCGATCAACATATCTCGCACCACGATTGGGCCAAACCAATCGGAACGGCACGCGGAAGAAGAGGCGACGTACGGGTCAAGTGCGGACGAAAACCAACAGGGATTGATCAACAGAAAGAGGTATGAATTAACCTGCCGCGCGGTTAAGAGTTGAATGTATCTAAGTGAGCACGTAAACCAGTTGTTTTTGAATTGGATCAATAAACGTTTTCACAGCCAACTCGCCTTCTCGCTACAATGTTAAAATCATGTGGTTTTTACATTATTTTGTACTCGTTCCTCTAAAATTTCCCCTCATTCTTTTCAGCTCCTGTCGTCCAGTTGAATAAAGCCTAGATATTTTGCCTTTATTTGCTCTCTCTTCAACACTTTTGCGAATCATGTTGAGAATCAGATGGAAGGATCCGCTATCACACGAAGCGGTCAGAAACCGGTGTTTTAATCTCATGCGGCTAAGCATGAACATACAACGGCGACGACGGCAATGGTTTGAACAAACACTAGATAAATTTGGCAGCGATCTGACCACAGCTGCCTTGTTATCGTTTCTCTCTTCAAACTGGTGTTGTCTACAGCTGAAAACCTGGCTATACACTGTATGTAAGGGGGCAGAACACCTCGGTCATTGATAGTGAGTGTCAGATTGGATCACAATCTGCGCAGATCTTTCTGCCGACGGTCGAGCGTGGGCAGTTGTAATTATGGATATCGATGCAGCCGGTTTAAATTCTCCCGGGAGTCAGTCGCGGTAAAATAAAAAGCAAGTTTACAGCAGATTCCCGTGGCTTCCGGGTCTACTCCAGTTGTGCAAAACACAAATGTCCTACTAAAGGGGAAAGTTTTAAATCATTAGTCTGAAACATGACTCAGTTAAAGAGTTGAATCCGGCAACTGACTTTCAAAAAAAGTTTAATTGTATATAAAGGGACTATTGATAAAGTGCCGTGGAAGTTTGAGCAAATTCAGCCATTACGAGGATAACATTTTAATATGTAATCACAAGTGAATGCTGCCTAGTGGGAGGACAGAAAATTAATGTATGGAGAAACTGCCCTATAAATATTCTCCCAGGATACAGAAGTCAGAAACGAGTTTGCACGATGTATCCATGGCCATCTCGTTGCATCTGTACACATGTATACTGCAGTCAAAGGGTTTTTTTATTGTCAGTTAAGTAATTACCGTGAGATGAAGACAAGATAGTTAATCACAAAGGACAACACGACACAATAACACAAAGAACGGGAGAGGGTAGGGGTTAACCACCAAAGCAAAGCTAATGTGACTAACCATTAACGTTGTCTGCATAGATCGGGTTTGAGAGTATGAATGGTTAGCGCCTCGGCGAATTTCAGTAACTTTGTGGTTGTTGTGTTTTACATGGCTTGAAATGCGTGGGTTGGAGTGATACCATGCTTTGTCGAATAAGTGTTGTATTATCGAAGATCAAAGTCTTTTCTGCTCATTTAAGTCTGACAATACTCTAGACGATGCAAGTGAATTGAACAAGAAAATCTGTGCGGAACGGAAAACTCTAACTCAAACGAACCTTATAGAAGAATTAATGGCGAAATGTTTGCACCCAAAGGAAACACACCACAGATGTACGGTTTACCGAAGCTGCATAAAGAAGGCGTCCCATTACGACTCATTCCAAGCATGATCAATTCACCCTAACATGCATTAGCGAAGTGGTCAAGTAAAGTTCTGGTACCGGTAAGAGATTCTGTTGCTCGATAACACAATATTTATTCGACAAAGCATGGTATCACTCCAACCCACGCATTTCAAGCCATGTAAAACACAACAACCACAAAGTTACTGAANCTAACCATTCATACTCTCAAACCCGATCTATGCAGACAACGTTAATGGTTAGTCACATTAGCTTTGCTTTGGTGGTTAACCCCTACCCTCTCCCGTTCTTTGTGTTATTGTGTCGTGTTGTCCTTTGTGATTAACTATCTTGTCTTCATCTCACGGTAATTACTTAACTGACAATAAAAAACCCTTTGACTGCAGTATACATGTGTACAGATGCAACGAGATGGCCATGGATACATCGTGCAAACTCATTTTTCTAACTGCTATATTCAAATTTGTGGCGGGAAAATAGTGTTTTCAGTTTCTAAAACATCATTTCCCCGGGAGTTCTGATGGACCAATCGCGATCGGCCAAGATCAAAGCAGAGGTGGAGGCGCTTGCGACCTAGACTTACCAGAAGCCTCAAGAGCGATCGAAAAAGCTGGTCAGCAAAAGTTGCCTCCAAAAACCTGAGTAGGGTCTGGGCGGGTGTCTAGGTTTGTGACTGGTCATCCTTTCCCTTACATCTTATGAAAGGCTCCTTAAGACCAAGCGTATCAAGTAGCTTTTTCTGAGGAAGCCCTACTCACTGCCTTCTCGTGGCGAAGGTTTTATTACACAAAAGTGCAGAATAATCACGACCGTGCTGTCCATTATATAGCGCAGGGTAGGTAGTGGTAAGTGGGCTACTGCTCAAATAACCCAACCTTTGTTTAACTCTTTGTCTTCCGTACCAAGTGCTCTCCATTTGTCCCTTCTTCCGACCGGCAATAGTCCCTCAAGAAAATTGCATGTCGCTCGCCAAAGGTAGTTGCCAAATAGCACTGTAGGCAATGTACCACGAAAAGGTTTGCAGATTATAAATCCTCGCCAACCACTGAATCTGGGGGTTTTCAACGTGAGGACCCTGGTGCAGGAAGGTCAACAAGCTTGTCTAGCGTGCACGACTGAACCTTTGATGATCGATATTTTCTGCGTGTCGGAGACTAGAGTTTAGGACCCTACTACTATAGGCCACTTGGGTGCCCCAGATTTGTCGTCGAGATACGTTCTTCGCACATCAGGCGACGATGAAGCTCGTTCAGTAGGTCAGCGCCGGGTAGGTATTTCGCTCAGTAACAGAGCTCTTATCAATTGGATCCCCGTCAACGGTTGTTTGTGCAATGCGTCTCCAGAGACCTCCAAAAGCCGAAGTATGATTGGGGGTGGGTGTCTAGGGATGCCGCTGGTCACCTTTCTCTTGCACCTCGCGAAATGCTCCCATACGACCAAGCGTCTCGAATAGCCTCTGCTGAGCAAGCCCTAATCACTGCCTTCTCGTGGCGGAGGTGTTCTCCCACCAAAGTGAGAGGATGAAAAGCCGACATCCGGGGCTATAACCGGGTTGGTGGACCACTGGTAGTTCACCTAGGGGAGTTGGCCAAAAACCCTGATTCCAAACCAACCATGAGGAGGCGTACGAACCACACCCACACCTTTTCGGTTGTGGCAGTGGTCACCGGCTCGATTGGGCACCGAGGTGTATTGCGCGCCTTGGACGTTTGATCCCGTCCAAAGGGTGTATGGTCCGATGAACTGGATTACTGTTTTAACACACCGCGCCGCTGCCTTGCGGGTCAGACTTTGCCTAGCCGAAGGCTCCGGTTGTGGAATGCTCAAGAAAAGTAACCTGTCTTGGCCTAGGCAACCTGGCCGTATTCAGCCCACATGCAAATCATGGAACGTTTTTTCTTCCAATAAAGGTTATTGTACCATGATTTGTTTGACACAGTCTGGATTCAGACGTGTGTGAACACATATAATATGCGTCTCCAGGGATATATCAGGGTCCCGAAGGGAGGCAACACTAAAAGGTGTTTGTTCATCATATCAACATGCGCACCGGCCAATTGCAGTTCTGATACACAAAAGGACGGTTTCTACGATGAACTCATCGATCTCATGCGGCTGAGTCGAAGCTCCGATCTAGTTGTACTTGCAGGTGACTTTAACGCGCACGCTGGAAAACTGCGAGCATCAGAAGCTTCCTTAGGTGGTAGTTGTACTTTACTCTGCCAACGAACAGATAATGATGATCGACTTCTTTATTTCTGATCATCATCTGTTCCTATCTAGTACCAAGTTCCGACACAGCTCTCGACGGAACAACGTGGTTCTCCAATTCAGCTGGTACACTTACTCAAATCGACTACATAGCAGTAAGTTACTATTGGCTTGGCTCAGTGCAAAATTGCAGATCCTATTGGACTACCTGCGTTGAGTCTGGCCTCGCAGTAGCTTTAATGCAGTTCACTCTCCGACTGACTAACCGGCGACTTTACCAGCCTGTCTGTCCCGACAGTTCGTGCACGCTACGAATCAGAGCAAGTGCGTGAGCTAAGCGCGCTTAAACGTGATGATATAGATGAACAGTGGGATTGGAATAGTCAAGCAATGCATGCCGCAGCGAATGCTACTTGTGGGTCTGTGCCTCAAGCCCATTAGAGGCATTGGATAGCTCATGGGTCGGTAGCCCTGGTGGATAAAAAAAACGACAAAATCCCGACCGGCCAGGATCAACAGAAAATTAGGTGACATATACAACGTCAGCTCACAAAGAGCCTCAAGGATGATAGCGAGAACTGGTGGGCAACAATCGCTAGTAAAATAGAAGTAGCAGCTGTATCAGGGAACAGTCAAAGTTCAGTACTTACAACCATTAGCCATGCACTTTCCTGCGCCGGTCTTAGTTGCTGTCTTCTGGTTGCCCATTTGTATAAAACAGCAGAATGATGATTAGAATCTTGAGAGCAGATTCAAGCGGAAGATAGCACATTTTCATAGACTGAAGTTACAAGAATAATGAGTAGATGCATGAGCGCCATTGGTTGCGACACCCAGCCATATCGCTCTCTCTAACCACCGGTGACCATGATCTCTGGGTCCCCAGAAAGGGAGCCCAAAGAGACCTATGACCAGTTTTCAGGTCAGTGTTTTCATACCCTTATGCCAGGTCTTAGTTTGACCACCCTTCATTTTTTTCCAACCGCTACCTGTCTCGCNTGTCTCGCCAAGCATCGCTCGCCGTGGCAATCTATCTGGTGACATGCGTAACACATGCACCAACCAGCGTAATATATGCAGGTTGACTACCTGTTCCAGTGGACGACCGCGATTACCTAAAACTCTACGCCTAACCTCAGCATTGCTGGTCCGGTTTCCCCACCAGACTGGTGCAATGCAACGNGTAGACAGCGGTGTTCGAACACCGACAGCCTATTTTTATCCTGTTCCCGTAATGGCCAAGTCTCTGCGCCGTAAAGCAGAACTGGTCGAACTGCTGCAGCATATACTCGACCCTTCCCAGACAACACGATGTCGCGACGGTGCCACAGATGTCTCAGGTTGGCAAATGCCAACCGGGCATTCTGTATGCGCGCCGAAGCTTCATCTGTGATGCGTCCGCCAGGTGAGATATAGCTGCCCAGGTAGCAAAACGTGTCTACTTCCCCTGCTACTTCTCCGGTCAGGGCGAGGTTGGGGATTGAGCCACCAGGGTGGTTTGTTTTAGGGGAGCGAATTCATTCTGCAGGAGCAAGATATTTGCCTTGATCCGGCCCCAATGCTGGTCAATGGAGTCGTTTTCGTGGAAAGGAGCCCACACCAGCTCCACACCTCGGGCCTTCAGCTTTGTCGCATCTATCGTCCAGTAGTTCCTGGACAAACCCAGCATTACTCGTACGATGCATGAGACTTATTGCGGTGGCGAGAATGACGTGGTCACTTTTACCCAGCTGTGGATGAAGGGTGATGTTTTTTTAAATCCATCTCCCTCGTCATACTTGGCAGTCTTGAAGTAGTTCACGGGTTCGAGGCTGAGCCAAGGGGTACCGGATTTTGGTTTGTCGGTTTTCGATTGATGGTTAATGCCCGCTGACGAGAATTTGATAGCGAGGCCCGTTAGTGAGGAGGATTCAACGGGGATTTAGGTAACTGAAACTAGGAACCTGAAAGAGAAGAGGGCAGAGGAGGGGTGCAGTACCTGCTTGCAGTGCACAAATATGCGCATCTGAATAGTGAACACATTTTTATATGCATATAAGTAAAATTTACATAATGCACGCATAGAAATACGAAGGAAATTTATGACACTTTGTTTTCAAAACGTTTTTCTTTTTTATATTTTCGTTTTGTTTTTCTTTTCTGCATGTACAAAAATACACAACATCAACAAAAATTATGACTCAATGCAGTTGCGATAAATGCATTTAAAACGAGAACGCAGTGGATGGAGAGATAGATGCACAGATCGAGAGGGAGCAACTAATGGGAGTTGGTGGTAGCGTGTTTAAGACCAAGGAAGATATCGAGCTTGTGTTTCGGTATCCTCTTTGAAGGCGCGTCAATAACCTCCTGCAGAAGACTGTTCCATAATGGAATGACTCTATGGGTAAAGAACCAGTGACGAATTCAGGTGCGGCACCGAGGCTTAAACAGGTTTTTGTTGTGACCACGAAGAGTATCTAATCTGCATAGGGTGAAAAACTGGTTAGCCGTGTCCGTAGAGGATAAATGGTAAAAAAGACAAAGGTTCGCTCGAATGCAGTGGGTGTTTAGGGGTAAAGATTGAGTGTGGTGGATGGGTTATGAGACATGGAAGAGACCTAAGACCAGCTTTGTAGCTGCTCGCTGAACTCCTTCGAGGGATTTACGATCATCCAAAAGCCCAGAGCACGCGATTTGGGCTCCGTATTCTAAAAGCGGTCTTAAAAGTGCCATATAAGAGCCGAAAATCTTTTATATCAAAGCGAGGAAAGGAGCGCTTGATAAAACTGAGAATCCCAAAAGACATTTTTAGGGCTTTTTGGTGGTGGCAAAAAAGATGGTAAGTTGGATTACCAGAAACCAAGGATGTTATGCTGGTTGATAGTCTGAAGTTGGGATGTGTTGCACAAATTGAAGGTGTGCGCACAGCCCCTGCTAAAGGAGGTACTTACACATTTGTCATCTAGAACACAATTTCAGGCGAACGATTGTTTTCAATAACTCATAATCATGCTATTACAGTTTGTATGGGGGACAAATCCTAGGGTTTGGGAGGAGAACAATGAAATGTGTATGCATTTGTCATTATTTATTGCTAACCTCCAGTCTGATGAGCATGCTCTGGTGACATCCGTGGCTGCCACCTCGAGGTAAATCGATGCTAATAACCTCGCACGAGTATAGGGCTGTTCCCATAATCAAATCTATAACAAAGTTAAATAGAAATGGAGAGAGAGCAACCCTGTCGAACATCACTTTCCGTAGTGAACTCGGGTGAAAAAGTGTCGTAAGCTCCGACTCGGCTTCGGCTATCATTATAAAGGAATCGTAATATTGAAATAAACTTCTCGGGCACACCTTTCAGGGAAAGGCAGCGCCAGAGTTTAGAGCAGTCGACTGAGTGGAAAGCCGCTTTCAGGTCGACGCTTCTTAAGAAAACACATGACTTGCCGTAATGCACAATCTGTGTTGATGTACCACTTGGCCATAACTTTCTTGGTTAGCATCATAGAGTAGAAATACCGTTCGGTGGCAAACACGATCCTTTCTCACTACGCAGCCTCTCCGCCGCCAATATTGAATCACCTCTTTTGTTCGCTCACGTATCTGCTGACTGTAAACTAATCGCTACCAAATTCAGAAGAAATTCAGCTGAAGATGTTCATTAAGTCCGAAGTGCAACTTCGTCTAAGCAATGGCATCATCGAACCTTTAAAAACTCCTATCAGAAGCCTTACACCGCATTTGAAGCATGTGACAATCTCTTTTAGTTCTGCTGAATACTGTTCGGGGTTACTAACGGTATCGCTTGTTTTCAACGCACCATTGACAAGATTTAAAAGCAGGTCTGAAGAATACGTTCGCATACACAGACACAATTTAATCTTCTAACAACGACGGATCGCTTATTTGGTCCGGATCGATTTGATACCGATCCTCATTCTTCATCCGCTTCCGAACAGTGGATTCACTGGCATGAAACATTCCGCAACTTCATATCTACTGTCGATCTACCCAATCTATACATGAAAACGTTGCTGGTGAATTTCTTATTGCCGTCCGTTTACCAACACATAATCGATTGTCCCGATTATGAAGATGCTATTAGAACCCTTGAAGGGCTGTACGTTAAACCAAAGAACGAAGTGTTTGCACGACATCTACTGGCAACAGCAAAACAAGAACAAGGACAAACGATTGATAAGTTTACAAAGAAATTTAGGGTTCTCGCAAAGAGTTGTAACTTCGTTGCAGTTTCCACCGAGAGACATCGCGATGAAGCTATCCACGATGCTTTCATTATGGGGTTGCTTTCCAACGATATTCGCTAGCGGCTTCTCGAAAAGTGAACCCTAAGTTTGCAGTGTGCTTTTAACGAAGCTCGTACTTTGGAGAATGCACAGCAGCAGTCGCTCACTGACGATTCAGTCTTACGTGTACCCTGCAGTTCCATGACTAACCAGACAGATCCCACCATTTCAATACAATGCTCTGGAGTTTCTGATTTACAACCCGAGATTAAAGACCTAGTTGCAGTGGTCTCCGCTAAATGCTTTTTCTGCGGAAGTTATCGAAACCCTCGTTTGAAATGTTCAGCTCGAGAAGCCACATGTCATTCTTGTGGAAAGGGCATTTCCAAAAGGGTCTTTGATATAATTCCAACACACATCTCAGACGTACATTATCTGTGTTAAATCCAACCATTTCGTCAGTTGTTGTGGATCATCATTCGTCGGTCTTTCCAAATCCACGGTAAGTTAATGGAATAGCTCTGAACGCGCTAATCGATACAGGCAATTGCGAGAGCTATCTATGCATCAACATTGCTGCTAGGCATCGATGGCCTGTAGAGTCATCCAAACATACCATATCAATGGCTTCCACCCATCTGTCCTGTGTTACCCAAGGGCACGTGTACGCCTCTATGCAATATAAACACATTACAATAGGGTAAAACTTTCTCTTTAAAACGATTTATGCACAGAAGTCGTTCTCGGTCTAGATTTCCTCGACCAACACCAGAATGTCATCATTCCCTCTAATGGTAATCATTCACCTTTCTCTGTATGTACCCTCAATGCAGCAAAAGTTGATATTCCTCATTTGTTTAAAAGTCTAGCACCAAATCATGCACAATCGCTACGAAACGGCGCCGCTACTTAGTTTCCGATCAGAAATTTAGCGAAACCGAAGTCAAACGATTATTGATAAACAATAACATAGAGCCTTCCACGTCTCCTTGGCGAGTACAGGTTCTTGTAGCAACTGACGAGAGACATAAGAAACGGATGGTAATTGACTACAGCCAAACGATAAACCGGTTCCCTTATTTGGATGCTTATCCTCTGCCACGAGTGGATGAACTAGTGGAAAAGGTGACTCAATATTCTGTGTTCAGTATACCTGATCTGCAAAGCGCCTATCACCAAATTACCATTCGAGAAGAGGAAAAGTCATATACGGCATTTGAAGCTTGTGGTAAGTTGTATCAGTTCTGTCGCATTCCATTCGGGGTTACGAACGGAGTGGCCTGCTTTCAATGTACGACAGATAATATTATCCATAAAGAACATCTACAGGATACATGCGCGTATGTGGACAAAGTCACAGTGTGCCGTCGTGATCCGGAAGAGCATGATAGAAATCTCCGCAACTTCATGGATGCCGCTAAGAAACACGGTATAACGTTCAACGAACACAAGAGTGTAATTGACGCTAATAAAATTCTTCTTCTCGAGTATGAAGTTTCCAAAGGCTTAATCAAGCCAGACCCCGAACCACTTTCATCCTTGAGGGAAATGTTTCAGTTTCAGTTTGAAAAACCATTGACCATTGAGGGAAATACCTCCCTCGAAGGACATCGCTTCGCAAAGACGAGTGGTGGGAATGCTGGTGTACTGTGCCCATTGGATCCCGCAATTCTCCGACAAAATCCACTCACTAGTGCATAACCACACCTTTCCCATTCCGGACAGCGTAAAATCCTCTTTCCAAGAGTTGAAAAAAAGAGCTAGAAAAGGCCGCTGCTTTTACCGTTAATTACAACCGCCCACTAATTGTTGAAACCGATGCATCCG